GCTGTGCTATGTATGTTTCACTACTTACTGCTCTTTTCGTCTCCTGTTAACAGCTGACCTGTGTACTCTGAAAAAGGATTCAATCGTTAACAGCACTATATTGTTAAGTTTTCTAGTCATTTCGTGATTTGCTTTCATCAGCTCGCGATTTCTCGTAACCCTCATCTGGCATCCCTGCCTGCGCATGCGCCGTGGTAGTTTGTTTTGATGTGGGCGGTGTGCACGTGTGCCGGTGTTCTGCGTCCTTTTCTCTCAGATGCTTCGCCTCTTGCTCCTCTCAATTCTCCAGTCTGTGCCCCATAGCTACTGGGGGTGTTCTGGATTGCCGCTATGGGAAGGACGCCGGGTTTTCCCTGCGTATGGGTGTGGGGCTCCTCCTTCGCCTCTCCCCTACTCTTCTCCTACATGTGCGACTTTGCCTTCTTCCACTGGCAGTGCTCCCAACATCTTCTCGGCTAAGTTGTGTCGTGACATGTTCATGCCTACGTTTTGTAGGCGAGTTTCTGCGGTCTGGCGTATTTTTTCAGCCAGGCGCTGGTTCGTGGTTTTTGACTGCGAATATACGAACATCGGTAAACAGGTGACTGCAGCAGGCCTCTTGGGCCTTATGAGGCAGCTCATATTTATTCCCATCCAGTCCCACTCTTATGCAGGTACAACCCATGCTTGATTCCAGCACGGGGCCCCACCTCCACCAGGTTACGAGGTTCGATGATGGGGGTGTATGTTATGGGGTAAATATTACTGTGTCGGGATGTTGTGAGGTGACGTTTTGCTGCAGTTTTCTTTCTGTGGTTGCGTGTTGGGGATTGGTTGTGGAGTTTTGTTTGGCCCTTCCGTGCTTCTTCCTGGGGTCTTCCTTGTTTGTCTGGATTAATCGTTGGAGGGGGGTCACGGCCCCGTTTTTCATGGTCTTATCTGGGTCACTCATTCCTTGCCCGTCTTGCAGTGCCTGGCTTAGCCCTTCTGTATACAGTACATTGGTTTCTCTATGCTTCCCTTGTTGTGTTTGTGGGAGTTGAGCTCTGGCTTTTTGGTCCATCTTCTCACCTGTTTTTCGCTGATGTGCGGGGTTCCTGTGCCTGCTGGGCTCTATCCTGTCTCGGCTTGATGCTGTGTGTGGTGTCTTCCTCCCCCACATCACTTCCTCATGCGTTCCGTTTGTCTCCTACTCTGCCACTGCTTCCTTCTTTCTAAAGTTTCTCTGGCTCCTTCCACCGGTGTCCCCTGGTGTGTGTGCCCCTGGGGTCCCGTAGTCGGTCTTTCTCTACCCTATCAATTCCTTTGAGAATCTTGAATGTGGTGATCTTGTCCTCATCGCTCGTACTCCCTGGTTCGGGTACTGGTTTGGTGGCATATCTTTGCTCCTTTCATTCCGTTTGCTACACATTGTTGTGGGTTTTGTTTGTGCCTTTTGGCTTTCTTCTTGCCAGGTTTGGGTTTCTGATTTCCTGGCTTCCCTGCCTGTTGGCATTTTACGGTCTCGTGGTGTCCCTTCTCTGGAGTTTCACGTCGAAGCCGTCGTCTCCTCTATTCTGGCGGGCTCGCTGGGGTTGGGATGTTTTTCTGTACAGCAGACGTTCCATCTCCTCCTTGCTGGCTTGGGTTTCCGGCTCTGCTGGCTCCGTGGTCAAACCCGAGATCTTCCCGCGACTCCACCTCTTCCTAGGCTCGATTGGCCCATGACGGGGCTGGTTTGGTTCTGCCTCGAGTCTCTCGCCTTCTTTGGTGGTTGGGTGATTTCGTTTATGGTGTCCCACCTGCGTGCCTCTTCTTGGTGGTAGTGTGGGTTTTTTGGTGGTCCATCTCTTTCCTTCTGTCCCTTTGGTAGCTGCATTTGTTGGCGTGGTCTTGTCCTTCTCTTGTGGAGGTTCGGGGCCATCATCTTGCCCCATACTGTCGCCTCGTATCCTGCGGCACTGGCGGAGCCGCTTCAGTTTGCTTTCGGTATTGGTGTTCCGTCTGTACCGTTTCGCCAGCCGTCGCGTGCGTTGTTCACCTCCGGCCTGCTCGTGCGCCACCTGAGCCGTCTTGGTCTTTGGACAGAGTGCTCTTTTTCTTCTCCATGGTATGTTGTGGCCCCTTCGGTTCAGGATTGTTTCTCGGAGGCTCTATTTCTGTTGGCATTGGCCTCAAGGGGTCGAGTCGGTGGGCCTCCTTCTTTCCTTCGGCGCAGGGGTTTTCTGCTCCTTCGGTCATGGCAATAGGTTGTTCGTCTGCAGCCGTCTCCTTCTTTTCTGGCAGTGGTTGAGACCGCTGTTTTCTGGAGGGGTCCTTCAGTTGTGAATGCTTGGTTTTCGGGCCGGGGGTGCATCATTCTTGTGTCCGGTTGTGGCCCTCCCCAGTTAATTGCGTGCCTCTGCCTCTTCTGTCTGGGGACGCACTTTGGGTTGCTTCAGTTTCCTTTCTTTCTTGTTCGCGGGTGTGGGTCTCCCAGATCACCCGCTGGGTTGTTTAGGCTAGCCAGCCTGTGGTCTATCCTCGTTCCCATGACGTTTCCAGGTTTGCTGCTCTTGCTGCAAATTTTGGCAACATGTCCTGGGCTCCAGTGTGGGGATTTTAGCGGTTGAGCAGGATCCTGGCTGCTTGATATCTCGTGAACGATCCTGGGCCTAGTCGGGGCCGTGTCACTTTGGGTCGGCAGTTGCAGCCAGTTGTCTTGACTAAGCGTTGAGGAGTGAGCAGCGACCGCCTCCTGTGTTAGTCCCTTTAATTTTCCTCTGTGGGTAGTTAGCTCCAGAGAGCCGAAGGGGCTACCCCCAGAAAACCAGCATTGAATGTATTGAAACGCCAATTTCTGGGTGAGACCCGAAGGCTCTTTGGCATCCCTCCCTCCCTCCCCCCGGTCGGCGGGTTTTTCGCATGTTTTGACATCCAGCCTCAGAACTGAAGGGTGGATAGCCGGGCGGCGGTCTTGGGCTCCCCTTCCCCCTCCAGGGGAGGGGAAGCTGCGCAGATAGCGGTGCGGCAACGTGTGACATAATGCCCGTTTGCTCGATTCTTTTTGGGGAGTTCTATCCACTTGTTTGGCTTTTGGTAGCAATTTTCACCAGGATAGGGGTTTGTTTTGGGATGCCTACCTTTCTGGGTGCCTCACCCGGTCGATGGCAGACATAGAATGCTTCCAACCACACGGGGGTTTGTATAGGCCGTTGCTCCCCGTTCCTTTCTGAGGGGGCCAGGTTCTGACTCGTGGTTCCTGGAAGGCCCCACAGAACTCCATACACATGACTGATGCCAAAGTCTGACATTAGCATATCAGCCTGGATAAGCTCCGGGGAGCCTCCGGGTCTCACCCAGAAAATGGCGTTTCATTATATTCAACGCTGGTTTCAAGCTTTCTTGTGCTTGTTTTATCTCTGGTCTGCTCATGTACCACCCGAGCCTGCCTGGTCTCTTGACAAGGTTCTTTTCTTTCTTTATTATGCTCGTTTTACGGTGGCCCCTTCGGTTCAGAACTATTTTCTGGGAGAAGTCCATACGGCTCCCCGGAGCTATCCAGGCTGATAGGGATAGGCCTAACTTTTGGCATCAGTCAATGTGGGTGGAGTTCTAGGCCTCCTAGAACCCACAGAAAGGGCGGAACCGATGGACCCCAAGGGACACGGAACTGAACCCAGGGAGGGGCCGACGCCCAAACAAACTCGTAGGCAAAGGGGGGGGGGGGGAACCCCACTCCTTGTAACCGAAAGCCCCACCCATAGGGTTGGAAAACCCAGGAGGGGACCAACGGGGCCCAAAGCCCCCCAAGCCAGCCCCTCTCTAATACCGGGAACCTCTACGTCAGGTTCCGGGGTTAGGGAGGTCTCTCCCTAACTTATTTCTCTCGGGTCGTCCACAGGGTTATTCGGTACAGACAGCCTGCAGTTTATCCTCGTGCCCACGACGTTCGTAAGATTGCTGCTTTGTCTGACGTCTTCGGTAACATGCCTTGGGCTGACATTTGGGCACAGGGGTTTTGGAGGTCAAACAGGGTCCTGGCCACTCGCTACCTTGTTAATGTTCCTGGTCCTAGTCTGGCCTGTGTCGTCGGCAGTTGCAGCCGGTTGTCTGGACTTCGAGTTGAGGAGCGAGAGCCGACCATCTCCCGGTTAAGTCCCTTTCGTTTGGTTTTGTCTCTGGGTAAGTAGCTCTGAGAAGCCACAGGGGCTTCCCCTAGAAACATTTTTTGGGTGAGACTCGGAGGCTCCCCCAGCAATTCTCCCTCCCTCCGATCGGCGATTGTTTCACATGTTTTTCACATCCAGCCTCAGAACTGGGGTGTGAGTAGCCTGGTCTGGATGGTCTGGGGCTCCCTTCTCCGTCCCTGGGAGGGGGGTGCAGACAGCAATGTGGTGACATCATGCTCGATTTTATTTGGGAGTTCTGTCCACTAGTTCAGCTTTCAGTAGCAATGTTAACCAGAATAGGGGTTTGTTTTGGGGCGCTTACCTATCTGGGTGCCTGACTCAGTCGATGGGAGGCATAGAATGCTTGCAAGCACACTGGCTTTTCTATAGGCCATTGCTTCTCGTGCCTCTCTGAGGGGGCCAGGTTCTGGCCCATGGTCCCAGGTAGGTCTAGAACTCCATGCACATTGACTGATGCCAAAGTCTAATATATCCATATCAGCCTGGATAGCTCTGAATAACCTCTGGGCCGCACTCAGAAAATGGCATTTCATTACATTCAACGCTGGGTTTTTCTGTGGGTTAGCTACAGGGAGCCACAGTTCGGTTCCTCCAGAAAACCAGCATTGAATGTAATGATATGTCTCTTTATAGGGGGGGTCTCAGTGGGTACCTGGGCCTTCCCAACTCCCAGCCAGGTGCTTTTGTTCTTATTTTCTTCGGCTCCAGACTGAAGATTATGGAGATGGGGACTGGCAGCCTCCACAGTGCTGCTATCTGGTGATGGCAAGTTATAATGCATGTTTTGTATACACTATTGAATTAAAGACAAGAGAATTAAATCTTTTATCTTCCATTTCTTCTAATTTTCATGTAACCCTTACTTTGCAGGACTGTTTTCCAGACTTTGCCAGTAAGCCTCCTCCAATTGCTGACCTCCAGACCTTTTATAAGGAATCTAAGAGGAGGTTTGATGAAGATGAAGCTTTTAAGAAGAGAGCATATGGAGCTGTGGTGAAGCTGCAGGCACATGACCCTTTACATATTAAAGGCTGGCAAGAGATATGTGATATATCACAGAAAGAATTTGAGAAGGTAAGAACATGCTAAAACTGCATATATATAATGGGTCCTGTACTGCAGTGGTGTACATTCTCGATCCACAACCAGAGATCGTGGGTTTGAACCCCAGCTGGGATAGAAATTGACATGTTTCTTTTTCACCTGATTCCTTTGTTCTATCAGTAAATAGGTACCTAGGAGTTCTGAAACTATTGTGGGTTGCATCCTAGGGAAGGTCAATAATTTGATTTAGGGGGACCTTCCTATCTTGAGGTTATCTTGAGATGATTTCGGGGCTTTTTTAGTGTCCCCGCGGCCCGGTCCTCGACCAGGCCTCCACCCCCAGGAAGCAGCCCGTGACAGCTGACTAACACCCAGGTACCTATTTTTACTGCTAGGTAACAGGGGCATAGGGTGAAAGAAACTCTGCACATTGTTTCTCCCCGGCGCCCGGGATCGAACCCGGAACTACAGGATCACAAGTCCAGTGTGCTGTCCGCTCGGCCGACCGGCTCCCTTGATACCTTGATACAAGTCTTTGTCCAGACATTTTGTCTCGTGACATCGAGAATTCTTAACTTCTGAAATGTCTTATCTGGTTGCATCCTAAGGCAAGAAAAGACTAAGTGACAATAATGTGGCTGAAAAACAAATAACCCAACTCCTGAACATGAAGTGAATGTAATACTGTTAGAGTGCATCCTCACTCTAACAAATTCCCTGATGGTCCGAACGCATTGTATTTGGTACTAAATGTTCAATGGAACATACAAATTTTTGATTAAGTTAGGATTGTTTGTCCAAGCAATCAGCGTCTGAAGATGTCTGTCATTTACTATGATTCACGAAAGTGTAAGGAGTACAGTTGTTGTCTTTTTATTTTGCTTAACCATTGTTTCCAGGGAGAAGGGGTTGATGGATGATGAAATGGTGTCATTGGTGAGGGTTGGTGTCAGGAGGCAAGTGGTGTCAGTTGTTGGGGTTTAGTATCGGGGAAGGCAGGTGGTGGAAGTTATTCTCATGAAAAGCAGGTGGTGGAAGTTGTTGTTGGGAAGGCAGGTGGTGTCAGTGATGGAAGTTGTTAGGGGAGGAAGGTGATATCAGTGGTGGTGACATAATGGAAATGCTTAGGCAGACATGACTATCACAAGAAAGACAAATAACCCTAAATAGGGAGAGCGAAGAAATAGAGCAAACGTTGAAGCGATCATACGAGTCTGAGGAAATGGAATTGGAACAGAAACCTATACAAGAGATAAAGAAAAATCCAAAATATTTGTTCACATATGCAAAATCAAAATAAAAAACCTCCACCAGTATTGGACCTTTAATTACAACTGAAGGTACGTACACAGAGGACAACAAAGAAATTAGTGAAATTCTAAGAAGCCAGTACGAGGATATGTTTAGCACACCAATAAACAACATGAAAGTTGATGATCGAGACAGCTTCTTTGTGAATGACATTCAAGGTGCAGATAATATAATGGATATTAATACGAACTGGGAAGAATTTGAAAGAGAAATTGACAATATGCTCATGCACTCAGCTCCTGGGCCTGACTCATGGAATTCAATATTCATAAAGAAATGTAAAGTTCCAGTAGTGCGAGTGCTCAGTGTAATATGAAGAAAGAGCCTGGTTACAGTGAGATACCAACTGTGCTTAAATCTGCAGATATAGCTCCTCTGCACAAGGGGGGGGGGAGGAGAGGTGTAAAGCCTTGGCAAAAAATTATAGACCAGTTATACAAACATCACACATAATAAAAGTTTTTGAAAGAGTGATTAGGAATCAAATTTCTAGTTTTTTGGAAAATAATGAGCTACACTACCCAGGACAACATGGATTTAGAGCGGGAAGATCCTGTCTGTCACAGTTACTCAACCACTGATATAATCACAGAAGCTTTAGAAGAAAAGCGAAACGCAGATGTTGTATACACAAACTTTGCAAAGGCATTCAACAAATGTGACCATGGAGTAATAGCACACAAAATGAGGTCAATGGGAATAACTGGTAAAGTAGGATGCTGGATACTCAACTTCCTGTCGATCAGAACACAAACAGTAACAGTCAATCAAATAAAATCGAGTCAAAGTGCAGTTAAAAGCTCTGTACCTCAAAGTACAGTCCTTGCACCACTGCTTTTCCTAATTCTTATATCAGATATAGACAAAACTACAAGTCACAGCTTCGTGTCATTCTTTGCAGATGACACAAAAATCAGCATGAAAATTACCTCTGCTGAAGACATTGAAAAACTACAAGCAGATATTAACAAAGTTTTCGATTGGGCAACAGAAAATAACATGATGTTTAACCCTTCGGCCACTAAGAGCCTTTTGGCCTTCAACACCCACAGGCGCAACAAAAAAAAATTAAAAAAATTCTTTAGTTTTATAAGTGTTCATTTGTGTTCCCTGATCACAGGAAAAAAAAATCGTATGTGGTATATTTTGGCAGTAATAGGGCGAGGATGTCTGGCAAAAAGGAGGCGTTGACAGAGCAGGCGCCAGACGAGGTCAGCTCCACCCCAGCTATCGGGCAGGAGTTGCCACAAAGATGATATTACCTAATTATTTCAATGTTTCCGATTTTTTTTTTTCAGTAAAATTATTCAATAGTTTGTATTGTGATATATAATAAAATATGTTGACCATCGCTGTACTCAAAATTATGGTGTGCATATTAGTGATTCAATTATTATGTTTATAAAACAATAAACAAATAGTTTTGCTGTTATTATACTATATACACAGGTTATATATAAGTATCTGCATGTTTTATTCACCATAACGAACCACTAAGTTGGTATTGTGAGTTAAAAAACAACGAAGGGTGGCCAGCACACGCCAGCCACTGGCTGCCCTCCCTCCCTTCCTCCCTCACCTCCTCATTCGCCAACATGCTCCTCCCACCATACTGTTTTTACTTTTATTCACTATACACTGACATTATATATAAGTATCTACATGTTTTGTTGACCATAATTGTACATCTTAGCTTGTATGGTGAGTTCAGGCAATAAGAGGTGTAGCTACACACACAGTCAGCTGGTGGCTACCGCCCTCACTGGTTCAAGGACAGACACACTAATATTTCTCTTCCAACAATACTGTTTGTGCTGTTATTACATTATATACACACATTTTATGTAATTATCTACATGCTTTATTCACCATACCTGTACAAATAAGGTGGTATGGTGCCCAAAGACCATAGTGGCCACCAGTAAACATGACATGTCATGCAGACGACGCTCCTCCCTCACCAAAATGGTGGCTCCCAACATACTCCTATTGCTGTTATTACACTATACACACGTTATATATAAGTATCTACATTTATGTTCACCATAGCGAACCACAAAACTGGTATGATGAGTCCAGTCAATAAAAGGTGGTCACACACAGTCAGAAGACAACGACACCTCCCTACCTCCCTCCCTCAGCATTACTCCTCCCACCATGGAGCACAGCACTAAATATTATCACAATCCTGCTATTATCAGAATCTTGGTCAGTTTTATCACAGTCAGGGGTCTTCTGTAATACTATTATTGCTAAATAATAGCATGTACATATATATTTTGACATACTGTCTCCACTCGATCATCCGGACTATATGGGAAGGACCCCCAGCTGGATTATCACATTTTTCGGATAATGGTACTTTTTCACCTACGAGTCCAAAAGTGACCATTTCCAACTATTTTTATACTACAAACAACATAATTTGAATTGCCTTGCCACATACATTTATTAAATATTCAACTAGAAACCTCAACTTACCTTGTTGGTGTTCGTCTTCTTGATTGATGCCACACATCTTGAAGTTGAAAATTCTTAACAATTTACGTAACCTATACTAACACAACACTAAAATTAACACTTAAAACTACTGTACAGTTCATTAAGCTAAGTTAGTTTTGACTGCCAGCTGCTGAAGCCTCACTGGTTGAGGGCATTTGGGTTGCCTGTGAGGCCTCACTTGTTGAAAGCGCTTGCTTGCACCTCACTTGTTGAAGCGCTTGCATGCCCTCACTTGTTGAAGGCGCTTGGCTTGCCTGTGACGCCTCATTTGTTAAAGGCGCTTGCTTGCGCCTCACTTGTTGAAAGCGCTTGGCTTGCCTGTGGCGCATCACTTGTTGAAAGCGCTTGGCTTGCCTATAATGCCTCACTTGTTGAAGGGGCTTGGCTTGCCTGTGGCGCCTCACTTGTTGAAGGCGCTTGGCTGCCTGTGACGCCTCACTGGTTTGAACAACACGTAACTTGTCTTTAATTGCTAGGACAATCTTCTTCCTCTTAACACTTCCAGAACGATTGATGCTGCTACCAGACATATTCTTGGCCAAAAATGTTCAAAATTACTATGAAAATTAAGAAAGTTATTTAGAAAAATATTTCACTAATGGCGCAACACTGTGAGGCCGCACTGGTTGAGGTGTATAACTGTGACTTGTCTTTAATTGTTAGGACAACTTTCTTCCTCTTAACACCACCAGAACGATTGATGCTGCTACCAGACATAGTCTTGGCCAAAAATGTTCAAAGTTACTATGAAAATAAAAAAGTTATTTAAAAAAATATTTCACTAATGGCGCAGCACTGTGTATAACACGAGGGATGGACGCACATGGGTTGACCAGTGTTGGACGGGTCCACTTGGGATAGCGCGTTACGTAGGCCGCCAGGAGGAAAAAAATTCACAATATTTTTGAAGGAAACTTCAGCCTGTGCACAATGCTTTTAGGAAACTTATTTATTTGTTATTACATAATTACTAGTAGTTATTTCATTTGTTTTTGGCTATGATTAATTGTTCTAAAATTAATGGTAATTCCTGTACCCAGGTGGTCCCTCCTGACGCACCCCTCCCACCCTCCCAACACCACCCACCCACCCCACCCCCCTCCTCCACCATGCGTCTAGAGCCACAGACGGGATTAATACGGTATGGCCGTATTTTCATCCAGCCAAACCAGCTTTTATCCGGTTCCTGTGGCCATTTTGGCCGGATATTGTGATAA